CAAGTAGAGACGCTCACCTGTGAATTAGTGTGATTCTTACAAATTCGTCCAAGCTTTGGTTGGAACTGGAACTCATGCGATTGGAAAAGCGAGCTTCATAAGCTCCTGCTAATACTGAGTTCTTCCTACTAATGTTTTCATGGTGTTCCATGTTTGCTGTCTCGACGTCAGCCTTCTCCTCCTCCAGGCGTCGCAGCTCCTCGAGCTGCCCTTCCAGCTGAGCACCATGATCTGACTTGGTTGCAAGGGCCTCAACAGCGATAAGGCAAACTTCCCCCAAAAGCGACTCAAACATACTCAAAGCACATGTCCAGTTGTAGCTGTAGGCTATATCGTCTATATATATAGTTATAGTTCTAGTCTATAGGCGCTATAGATCTAGATACGATTCATAGACGACATGAACACTATTAAACACGACAAACCGATATCATGCGCTTGAACTGGCTTCCAATGTGCTTACAGGGCAAAGCATGGCAAAGCTGACCATCTGACACGTCAAGGTCAGACTTTGTGGGGAACACAGGCGATCCTCTGCGTCGAGGCGAGCATCTTCTTCTTTGAGCTGGTCCAAACATGTATTCGCCTCGTCGAACCTAAGAGTTTGGATCAAAGGAAGGTGGACACTTTATCAGGAAGAAAGGAGTAGTTGGGACGAAGACCTTCAAAAATAACACATGCCTTGAAAAACGGTAGTGGTGGCAGTAGTAGTAGCAGCAGCAGCAGCAGTAGTAGTAGTAGCAGTAGTTGTAGATAGTATTATATAGTATTAGTATTAGCATTAGTATTGTTAGTAGTAGTCGTAGTGGTAGTGGTAGTGGGAGTAGGAGTAGGAGTAGGAGCTGTCGTCGTCGTTGTTAGCAGTGGCAGCAGTAGTAGAGGAGATGTTCGTAGTAGTAAAACAAGTGAAAGGGTATTCATTAGTAAGGTATTGTCATGCTGCAACTGTATCCCTTTGTAAGATCTCACTTATCCAGTGTTTGAAGATTCCGGCTGCTCATCAACTCTCCTGGCAAAGGCATCCAGTTGCTCCAAAATCTCCTGAAGTTCCAATAGAAGGCAGTCCATCCGATCAAGCCTGTCATGACATGTTGGATCTTAGGCTCGTAGACTCAGTGACAAGTGTTGAAAACTAATGGCTTTTTGAGGATTGTCATGCAGCAGTCCGAGCCATCTATTCGTTTTCCTTGGGCATGCCCGATGCCCAGGCTTCTGTGGTTTTGGAGCGACCTTGGATGCATTAAGGCTGTAGTCATGGCATTCATGTGTGGTAGGTGGGCCACATTCGACAGTTTCAACATGGTGTATGCAAAGTGGATTCACTCGTCGAGGTTTGGTCCCCTGGCCCTGCCCGCCCCGCCCTTAAAGGTCCTTGTGATGCTTTAGGTCGTTCTGCTGTACTGATGCGCTATGTTGCCTGGACAGTTTCAAAGTGAACCATACATTGCACCCTTAAGGCCTTGGCACTTACGCGCACAATTTACTTGAATGATCTTGAATGTATGGCCTGACAATATCAAGTTCCTTGAGGATGCCAGCGTCGTCCTCCTTCAATGCCTCACATCCGGCTCGTCTCACACTTCGTGTCCAAAACAGCTATCCAAGATCCGAACAGCAATCCTCTGATTTGTTTCCAGCACTGACTGCTCCTGGGATCGATTTGCAAAATGAAAGGGGCAGGTGTGCGCTTCTGGACAAGGAACATAGACAGCCAGCTGAGACCCTGACCAGGAAGGTCATCATCTCTCGCCGAGCGATGCCCACAGACTGTACAACAGCAAGGTCCAAGGATTGCAACTAGGAACAAGAAGCCTCCTGGCATCGCTACTAGGAGCAAGGACGCTACTAGGGGCTCCTGGCCTTACTACTAGGAACAAGGACGCTACTAGGAGCTTATTGCTTGCTTTGCCCAAGCCATCTGCCTAAGGAGCCCGCCCGCTCGGTCCTTTCATCTGTGGTCGCTAGCTGGTGCTCCTTTCAAAACAGGTAACAGCTGAGTTTACTCACTGACACGTAGAAAGTTTGATAACTCATCACGCACTGAGCTCCAGTTCAGCTAATCTCCGTTCAACCCGGTCTGTGGCCTCACAATGTCATAGAGCGACCAACGCATCTGTTGCAAAGAAGCAAAAAATCACCTGAAAGAACACAATTCAAGGGCGCTCAGATCTCGGACCCGGGTCAGCTTGTCATTAGCATCTTCAAGCTCCTCGATCTGATCACGAGGGTCGCGACCACGATGCCTGAAACTAGGATCACATTGTCAAAGTAAGCTGCATCTGTAGATTGTGGCCGTGCGCAATGATGCCTCGTCTTCGAAACGTTTGTTTCAAAATTGTTGAAAAGCCGCAACATGCCCTCCTTTAGTAACTTGAGTGCAGGTGTTGCATGATGCAGTGAACAAAAAAAACGCAAAAAACATACTTATTTCATCTTGTATTGCACAACCACATCATGCTTAGAATGAGACCAAAGACAAATGGCACACGTGATGCTACAAACATCTACGAATCTACTTGCTATGCTTTGTAGTACTGCGGGCTTCCTTACGATTGCAGGGGAGGCGCAAGGCCATGGGATTTGTTTGCCTGCCGTCTGCTGTTTCACTTCGCATAATCGCATGCTATTAAAAGCACAACCCGAAAAATGAACAAAAATGAACAAGGTCCGCTTTGACTCAACTGATAGCTGTGCTAGCTGCTACCAGTAAATACTGTCTTGACATCCCATGATGGACCTGTCTCATGAAAGGGATGCAAACAAACTCTGAGGTCGGCATTGGTTTGAAGCCTGCTGTGACCATATTGAGGGGGGACCGACATCACCCGTGCAGATGGTCATTGTACATCGCTAGGCTATGCGGCTGAATGTTTCAGCACAAAAAAAGAATTGAGAGAGAGCCAGCTGTGCGAGGTGAGACATGAGCGAACAACGATAGGATTGTCCCGAAACTGCATAAAATCGCAAATTATTGAAGAAATGGAATTGATGCAAATGCGAGCAAGGAAGAAAGGTTCAAAGAAAAATATAAAAGAAAACAAACAGGTCTTTCAAGATGTTCTATAAAGGAACAAGCTAAACAATAAGCGGAAACAAATGAGCAGCAAGGAAACAAGGAGGATAAGTGCATCACAGTTGAGCAAAACAAAAGGAGCCTCCTGCTTGGAGCGCTCGCATGCAGCTCCGACGCAGCTTGCAGCATGCTTTCGTATGGCAGCTGCGCCTGCCCAAAGCTCATAGACTAGACCCGCCACACCGATCACAGCCTTATCTTCTGCTTGTGCTGCAAACTCAAAAAAGCGCCCCCATGGCTTACCCCATATATATATATTAAACGGAGTTGAAACCATTATTGATTACAGTACACTCGTTTGGTTCCTTTACAAATCATTACAAGCTTGAAAAAGCGTTGGCCGTTCTTGATAATGGCCTCGATAACCGGGATCCTGCTCGTTTGCACGTTGTGCAAGAAACTATCCTTGGTTATGCTTTCATTCCCGTGCATTCAGTGCTTCCAAATGCCGTCGTTTCAAAGAACAAAAGGTCGCGGCAATGTCTTTGTCGCTATGGAGTGGACTTCTTCGAGGGCCGTCCAGGCCTGTCCGTTGTTGCATTCAGTACATTCCGTTGAATCCCGTTGTGCAAAATACATCAAAATACATGATGAAATGATCCGACAGAGAGATGCAAAATTCATTTCAACTGCCCTCATCTCACTTCAGCAGTTGCTGAACAAATAGCCTTGTAGAAGAATACCAGCATCCGCAGCTTTCACCCCACGCTGGTCGCACAAGTCCTGCAACAACATGCCGAAGCGAGGCCAAACATGCTAAGCAGGCAAGGCCTGAAATTGAAAGACAGGGTGGCTCTCAAGCGTTGCAGCAACCTGCAAAGCAAAAGCACGCGTCCGTCAGAAACTAAATGCATGAAATTGCATAGAGCACCTTTGCCATGGTCAGAGGAGTGGGAAGCTCCATCATTTGCATGATGGATCCACCGCCTTGTTCATCGTGGCATAATAGGGCTTCTGCAATCATTCATCTGATACTGCAGCGGATGCGCAATTTAGCTCCGGACTGATTGCAGGATCGGCAAATATCAGCCGAAACTGCCCAGTACAACACACAAAAGAAATCAAAAGAACATAATTGCGGCAAAATCATGGGGCGTCCATTCCTTGTGAAACATTGAACTGTGGATGCTTGCAGAGTCAAAGTTCAAGTCATAATCAAGCTCTGCCTTGCTCGGCAGCCCAGCATGTCCCTGCATCCTCCCAGCCATGCCTGCAACCCCAAGTGGGAAAAAGAATAGCATCACTCTCCACATTGCTTGATAGGACGAAGCAAGTCTCTATTTCAAAAGCATCGTTGAAAGGCTGCCGCCTAGTTTGCCTGGAGTGCCCAAAAGACCCTGCCGGCCCTCTTCCAGCTTGGACACATATGCCGCGGGGCAAGCTGCCATGTGCTGATCACAATCGTTCTACTACAAAGGAGATTCCAAACAATACATACTGCGCCCAAACCTAGGACCTCCGCTAGTAGGTTGGAGGCCATCACTAGTAGGTTGGAGGCCACCACTAATATAGAATAATATAGTTAAGTTTACCTACAACTCTTCCGCATATATCTGCAGCTTCCCCTTTCTGATCAGAAGCAATGAGCTGGCAGAGTGACGTGAGCTTGCTCGTGTTCGGGAACGGGCCAATTGTGCAAACAAAAGCACTGTTGTGATGTTCTCCACACATTCATGTCAAAGTCACATATCGACAATTGTTTGTTGTTGCGGCCCATGTCTTGCACCTTTGGCTCGACATGAGTTTGCTTTCTGCATTGATTCGCCTCCACTTCTATGGATTGAATCGCAGGCAATGCTATGTCAACAGCTGGAGAGCAAGGCGAGCTTCTGTCCTTCCTCTTCCCAGTATATCAATTGCTTGAGCTCAAGGTCCAGGTTCTTCCTCGCTTAATGATACCAGCAGTCTTGTTCTGGACTTGTTTTGGCTCGGGTGGAGGCCTGGACCTTGCCGAACATGTTCTGGCAAGAGTTGAATTATGGTCAACACAAGGCTCTATATGAGCAAATTAACATGCACTGTCAGTAGGGTCTACTGTATCTCCTTCATGCCGTGTACAGCCTGCAACAGTCAGGAGTTACCCTCTGACAACAAGTAGCCGCGATTTCTATCTGCCCCTGCACATTCAATCTGCATCCCCTTGTGTGTTGCCCTCTGTGAGGCCTTGGCACAGAGCAGCAAGCCTCACACCTTCAAAGGGTGAATGTGCAAATAGGTGTTTACACCTCATTTATCCAGGACAAACACAGTAATTAGATGGTCATTGATGATTCTTTGTGGATAATCCGTGCAAAGGCAAAGGCCGCGGCGAATCATTCTACAAATCATGTGGCTAAGCCATAGCCATCAAACTAAGGCATTCTCATTATGATAAAGAGCATTCGACTTTACCGTTGTCATGTTGGGCAAACTCTGCTCTGGCAACAGGCCTTGTGTGCATGCTCCAAGGGGTGCGACCTTTGCAAGGTGGCAAGAATCAAACTAAGACCTTTTCTCTTGGCCAACCTCCTACTTAATTAAGAAGGCACCGACTTAGTTATATAAGTAAGGGAGAGGTAAGCTACTAGGCAGCTACTAGCTACAGGATGCAGTATAGCTCACGCTCGCACTAATGATTTGGTTCTAGAATTTTAAAGAAACTAACTAACCTCTTGGCCCACTATTGGCCCTATTGAAGTGGCCTACATGATGGACACTGCGCCATCTTGACAAGTGGCATTGGCCGGGGCATGCCACCATAGCCTCCATAGGCACTGTAATAGTTGGGCGCCATAGCTTCGCCACTATGCGCCTCGGCTGGCAATAGGCCAGGCACTTCGCCACGAAGCGCTAGAACCGCTGGACCTACAGCCCCTGTAGCGTCCTTGCTCCTAGTAGCGATGCCAGGAGCCCCCAGTAGCTTCTTGCTCCTAGTAGTAAGGCCAGGAGCCCCTAGTAGCCTCTTGTTACCAGTTCACGTTGTAACATTCTGTCTATGGGTCAAAACGCTGGAACCCCGATGCACTGCAAGGAAAAGAAGAGAATTGACTGGTGGGTGCTTTGTTGTCCCGCCACCGTTGGACGCAGAGCTTAATCATGGATCCTGCGGGCTTTGCACTCAAGAGTCAGAGCCGAACTACAGCAAGTTCCCAATGTCTTCGACACATCATCCAATGTTGTGCACTCAACTTGACTGACTGCTCCGAACTTGGCTGCTCACGCTTGTGAAGCTGTTGAAGCTTGGCCTTGGAGCAAGAAAACAACACCGAGGGCAGCGAGCGACAGCTGAAGATTGGAGTGCAGGCTAAAGAAATCAAACGGTTGTTTCTAGCACTTTGCAAGCCTCACAAATGTGCCCAAATCATACTACAAACCAGCAAACCGTTCAAAAGCGTAGAAAACAGTTACAATCTTGCTAAGGTCAAGGCCAGGCAGCTCTCGCAATGACTACAACAGTTGTCAACTCTGAGCATGCTAGGTGCCCGCACGCACTAGTGCCATTTCGCAGCCATGGGTGGCTGAGGGCTTGGTCTGCAGTGAGCCGGTCACCAGGCCGCACCTGAGGGTTTGAGAAGCACAAGCGGCCGCAAGCTTGTTGTTAAAGACTCCCGCAGTGAATGACTCGCCCGGTTTCTTCAGCCTGAAGCAAACGGAGTATGAAATCCATTGCACCCTTCGATACGTTCTTCCAAGCCTTGGAAGTGCGAAAGCGCTGAGTTGCACTGTCACGCATCTTCAGAAACGGAGTGATTCAAGGAAAATAAGGTGCTGAAACCGTCAATTTCTGTGCAATTCTTGCCGGCCTGATCTGGAAAGCTCAAATCACGTTCAACGATTTGGCGATACCTGTCACTTTCCACACGAAGCAACTTCATGTCAGTTGGCGTGTTGTCCCAAAGCAGTTTGAGAAGGGCACAGCTTGTGGAGAACTTGGTGATAGAAAGGCAAGGCTCCACTGAGCACAACAAAGGTAATGACCTTGGTGAATCAAAAGCAGCAATGCAATATCGCTTCCACCCATACAGATCTGATCTCACAGGTACTTGCAATTACATCCAATCATTGATCATGAAAATGAGGAAGGTTTGAACACAGCAGTCCTTCTTAGCCTTAGCCTGGGCTCTCAGTTTCCTGCACCCAGCGCCCACATATCAATCTCTCGCCCATACTCCTGCGAATGGCGCAAACAAAGCACTACAAGAGCCTCTCCCAAGTATGACATTTCTTTCTCCACGGCCCCAGCGAGTGCTCCTCCTGCTTGATGACCTCAGGCGCTAAGTAGAAGTCTGATCCACAAATTGAGTGAGAGCGGGGTAGCCGCCGAGGATAGTCCTCATGTCATAGAACTGCAGTTGCAAAACCCATGTCTGCCGTGCCGGCATCTCGGTTTTCCAGAGAGAAACCACACCCTGAGAGCTTGCTGCAAGCATCTGCAAGCACAGCAGTCCTTGGACATCTTTGCCAGGCCAAAGTCAGAAATCTTCAGCTCGGTGTTGCTCACTCGGCTAGCCTGAGCAGAAGGCCCATAGGAAAAAATGCCGTATCCAAGTAGTTCCCGGGCAAGCCGGCGGCGGCAGTTTCCAAGAGAATTAAGCCTATAGGAAATGGGCATGTGGCAGGCTGATTCGCCGCGCTGCGATGTTCTTTGACAAAACAAGTTGGAACCGACCAATGGAGCGAAAGCGAAACAACCACCGTCAGCTGTCTCGCAGGAAAAAACGTTGTTCATGCACTTTTGCAAAATTAGAGTAGAGATGACTCAGCCGCGTACTAAGTTGTACTACAAAGTCGCCAGTTCTCAGCTTCCAGCTCCCCAGATTGCTCCGCGTACTAAAGTTGTACTACAAAGTCGCCAGTTCTCAGCTTCCAGCTCCACGGCTTGCTCCGCGTACAAAGTCGCCAGTTCTCAGCTTCCAGCTCCCCAGATACTCCGCGTACTAAAGTTGCACTACAAAGTCGCCAGTTCTCAGCTTCCAGCTCCACAGATTGCTCCGCGTACTAAAGTAGTACTACAAAGTCGCCAGTGCTCATCTTCCAGTCCACAGATGCTGTGCCTGCCACGAAATCTGCACATGGAGGTTCACAAAGTGCTGTGCCTGCCACGAAATCTGCACATGGAGGTTCACAAAGTGCTGTGCCTGGCACGAAATTTGCACATGGCGGTTCACATTTCAACTTGCTGTGCCTGCCACGAAATCTGCGCATGGAGGTTCACAAAGTGCTGCGCCTGCCACGAAATCTGCACATGGAGGTACACAAAGTGCTGCGCCTGCCACGAAATCTGCGCATGGAGGTTCACACAGCGCTGTGCCTGCCACGAAATCTGCACATGGAGGTTCACAAAGTGCTGCGCCTGCCACGAAATCTGCACATGGAGGTTCACAAAGTGCTGCACCTGCCACGAAATCTGCACATGGAGGTTCACGAGGTGCTGCGCCTGCCACGAAATCTGCACCTGAAGGTTCACAAAGCGCTGTGCCTGCCACGAAATCTGCACTTCAAGAAACAACTGAAACCTCTAATCACAATGGAGGGACGATTCCGAGCATGATCCGACCATGACCCGAGACCGTCTCGCAACCGTCGTTCCGCGGAGCTTCCCCGTCGAGGTTCGGAGAAGCATGGAGGTTCACAAAGTGCTGTGCCTGCCAC